GGAGGGAGGGAGGGAGAGCGAGCCCCCCGGTGGCCGCTGCTCTGCTCTCCCCCCGAGCGAGCGAGCGGTGCGCGCAGGGACTAACTTGCTTGTCACTTTTGTCATCCGGATGCGAGAGATCCTTTGAACCTTCTTGTCCCGGCGGTGCGGCGCGGCGCGGTGCGGGGAGCGCATAGCGTTTATGCCGACAGGGAGGGGATTATAATATGAAGGAATGCTATGCTGCTCTGCTGCGCCTGGTCGGCCCGGCCGCTCTGCTGGTCCCGCCTGCCTGCTGGTCCCCGCGCCGCCGCCGGCTTGTCGCGCGCGCGCTGCGATATTAATACCCGTTATAAATTATATACGCCCCCCTCCTCCCTTTCCTTTCCCCTCCAGGGGCGCTCCGGGGGCTGCGGCAGCAGTAGGGGCGCTCATTAGCAGACGGAATTAAGGCGGAGCTCGCGGAGGGGGAGGAGGAGGGAGGGGGGGGGGGGCACATATTACATGACGATCCCACCAACACGCTCTCCCAATGCTCTCATAATGCCCGTTGTGCGCCGCTAGCGCCGCCGCGCTCGCAGTGTGCACGGTGCGTGCAAATAGCGCGACACACATACGCTCCTCTCTCCCTCCCTCCCCTCCCCTCCCTCCCTCCTTCTGGAGTCAGCAAATAACGCGACTAACTGTCCCTGTCGCTCTCTTCCTATCTCACATCTCACTTAGTCCCCATCTTTAACACGCTCCCCGCACGCCTACGCCCGTGCAAAAAAAAATCAACAAAAAAAACCATATGGGACTGAAACACTAAAGCGTTTTCTAGAAAATGCTCTCTCTACTTTCCCCCCAAATGAGAGGTGTTTTCGCATGTTGCAATCCGCTATTTTTTTTCAAGTTGTCTCATCCTCTTCCTCCTCGATTTGCCAACTGCGCGCGATGCACCCTGGCCCTCTCCATTTCTTTATTTTCCACATTTTTTAACCCTACCGTTAATCAGGCCGTTAAATTCACGGCGGACCGCCCGCTTAATTTCACTCGCTCGTCGCCATAAACCGGGACCGAAACGGTCGCTAAACGGCGAGGCTGCACCAAGAGACCCGAGGAACAAGACCTGCGGCTGATGAGGGGCAGTCAGGGGGTTGAGAATTTTAGAGGGGGTACAAATATTATGAGGTGCCAAAAGGATCAAAACCATTATCATTGAAGTCCAGCGGGACCCAATGTAATTTTTACCCTGAGGTACATACATATTATATGCTTAAATGTCTGTCTGTCTGTGGTCTTATAGACTCTATAATGGCATCCTTTTGGGACCCCATAACAAATGTATCCACCAGAAAGGTCACACGTTACATAACATGGAAGAAACGACCCCTAACGCCATCGCTCTTCGTGGAGCTGTGTGACTCTCGCCACCCCAACAGCGAGAGCAGCTCGCACGCAGCGAGTGGCTCTCTCCCTCCTATTCCACACCGCTCACAAAAACATGTTTGAAAAAGCCGCGGGAAAATATGGTCCCACCGCAACGCGCACCAAACCGCGTCATGCGACCTGCAGCAGGCGGCGCGGCGGGCCTCTCCAAAGGCGCTGCCGCAAGCAATTGGCTGAAGTTCGAACAGCTGTGCCCGCCCTGCCCTGCCCCCCCC